ACTTGTGTTTTACTCGTATGTTACTCGTATGTACTCGTGTGTTACTCGTATGTACTCGTATGTTACTCGTATGTACTCGTGTGTTACTCGTATGTACTTGTGTGTTACTCGTATGTTACTCGTATGTACTCGTGTGGTGTTTTAGTCACGATCCAACAGATCCTCCAATTTTATTTGTATTCAAAGTCGACTTGTTTGTGATTAGTTTTGTAGTTGTTTTATATCAAAGTTTAAATTGTGTTCAATGATGTCATTAGATGCATCACATGCATGCAGACATGTTAATTACACGCACAGAACAGAATGATTAATAAAATTTAATAATAGTTTCAATAATTTAATAAACTAACAGTGTCATTTTTTGACGGATGTCAGGTTTTAATGTGATGTGAGCATGCGCGCAATCCAGAATGTTTAACTAAAAAATAATTATTTCATAGTTTGAAAATTTGGTAGCCACAATATTTCAGTTTTTATAAACCGATATTTTATATCTAAATATTTTCAAAATCAAAATATTTTAAGGCTCAGGTTGTAGTCCATCACATTGAAAGTTTTAGCATTGGAAATATGCTTTCTAAGGAAAGGTATTAGAATGTTAGGGTTTGTAATCCAAGTGATTATATACATTTTAAGACCTGACCAGGAACGACTGCGAAAAATGCAGCACAAGGTCCTCTGGTAGGAATTGAACCTACGGCCCTTGTGCTGCATTGTTCGCAGTCGTTCCTGGTCAGGTCTTAAAATGTATATAATCACTTGGATTACAAACCCTAACATTCTAGTATTAATTCCACCAAGTGAAGTGCAAGAAACCACATTTCTAAGGAAAGGGTCTGCGCAACAAAACGATGTACAGTCCTGGAACGGGGCAAATATTTTAAACAAATTTTCCCTTGAGGATCCGGCATGATTTGACGTAGGAAAGGTTTTTTTCAAATAGGCGTTTTTGTTAACGCAAGTATATACCCAAGGCGTAACGTTTTACGTTGTAATTGGAGAATAATAGGGACATTGAGATTTTGTGTTTTTTTGTTCAAACGGCAAACCGCAAGGAACCACATGACTGTGTCTAACGTTTGCCGTATATTTTACACGTTTTTGACGGCTGGAGCAATTATCCTGCCGTAAAGCCCCTTTCCACTAGGCGAATTTGTTCGCGCGACCAGTAAAAAAGTAGAAACTGATCCAACTTCGCTGACCAATCACATTGCTTAGATTTGTTTTTCGCTTCGCGCGAACACATTCGCCTAGTGAAAAACACAACATGAGCCCGAAATTATCATTACAATAAATTAGCAACTCCACATGAAACCACAAATGATGATGAAATCTTACAATATATAAATAGGCATCAAATTACGCAAAATATTCTATTTTCGTTGAGACATGACGCGACAAGTTCCTTTTTAACCTTCGTTGGATAAAGCCATGTCTTCTATAATTACGGCCATTTTAAGATCAATCGTGGATTTATTGTGCAACAAGGCTCGTGACAGTGCTGCAAATAAACTCGAGGACGAAGATTTATCGGATGAGAAATTGCGCGAAATAATTGTTAAAGATTTGGCCGACATCAAGTCGAAACTCGACTGTTTGTCGCTTAAAGATCTCGATAGCAGTTATAGTTTCCTGAAGGAAGGCGTGCAGTTGTTGAATTTTGCCCTTGATAAGTCGAATGAAGATCAGAAAGCGAGCGAGGGTCCAACAGACGACGCAACAAGAGTTTATATGAATGATACCGATATTTTCAACGCAGCTTTATCACTTCCTCAAGCGATTCAACAATTAAAAATCTCGTCCGATAAGCGGTTCGGTTCTGCTCAAGATTGTTTCAAAGCATCTCGGGAAGCAGCCACACATGCGTTCAACAACAAATCTCTGAGCATCAAAGATCGAATTATGGCTTGCAAGTTACGTATGGCAGCCAGAATTCTTGAATCAGGTCTTGAAGACCCGGAAGCCGCAACTACTGCCTGCCTGTTGTCACTTGAAGAGCTACATGGTTTATCAGCAATCCAAGAAATGTTCGCAGTTTTTCTCAAGGGAGGACTGAAATCAATGCTGAAGAAAACTGAACGGTTAGAAAACATAATGTCTGTTTTGTTCATCAATCATGCTTTATATGATTTCTCTTCCAAGTATAGCAGTAAATCTCACTACCTATTTACCTGGCCTGGAATAAAGTTGAAGGATCGTACATTTCATCCTATCCTAAGCGTACACGAGATTGTGACAAAGACGTCCAGTAGTGAGGAATTTGTCCAACAACTGAACCGAGTGGTTGTTGATTCGAGAATAAAGAGGGCTTCGTTTGCAGTGAATAGCCGTGGTGAAATTATTGTACTAGATGAAGAGAAAATCACGGTTATTTACAGCACAGGTGAAAGCAAGGATGTTATGCTTCCCGATCCCACAGAAAGTAACGTTATTGATCTATGCAGAATGAATGTTGCTGTTGATAGCAATGACAATGTGTATGCTGTGAGACGGCTTACGAAACGTGATAAAAATGGCAGTGATAAGAAAGACTTTGTGTTGTACGCTTTTGACGAGAATTACAACATCAAGCATGTTTCTCTATTGGATTTCCTTGAAGCAAGACGTTTGCGATTTGTGAACATTGCTGTTGACAAAAACCAAAACCTAATCATGCTCACAGATTGGAATGATCGGGTATATGTCTGTGAAACCACAGGAAAGCGGAAATTTCAGTTTAAACGAGATGGAGATGGCCCACGCAGCTTGCGTATTTCTAAGAACAATGATATCATGATAGTATCACATGACTGCAGCGCTGTTCAAATATACTCAACAGAAGGTAACTTAAAATCCACAATAAAAGTGCCAGAAGGTCATGAAGCCCGGCAGGTGGCATTTCATCATGGCATTTGTAAAATAATTGTTTTAACCTATGTTATGAACCAAGATTCCTGGTTCTTGCTTGGTTGCTCTGAAACAGGTGAACGTGAGAATTCAGTGTTTCTCTGTTGGGGAGGTAATTCGCGAATGAAAAGTCATCCAAGCGGACCAGTTGCTCTTGCAGTGGACGAAAGCATCATCTTTATTTAAGTTTATCAACTTTTTACTTTCTCTGCTTAGAACAGAATCATCTAGCCAAAAAATCAAAGCAAGATCTTGACTGACCCGTTGAGCGATGTGCAAAGTTAAGAAAGGTTTCATTGACTCAAGTTAACAATCTTCTCTTTCGACAGATATCATAAACTGGGATTTTGTGAATATAACAAGAATTAAACATATAATCTGTCATATATCTTAATAGAACCTTATTTCAGTCAATATTAGACAAGTAATGTACAGAACTTACCAAGATATACTCCAATTTTATTTGTATTCAAAGTCGACTTGTTTGCGATTAGTTTTGTAGTTATTTTATATCAATTTAAATTATGTTCGATGATGCCAATAGATGCATCACATGTAGACATATGTTAGTTACTTACCGCATAGAACAGAATGATTAATACAATTTAATAATAATTCGATTTAGCCAGGAATATTATAAGTTAACCCAACTAGTTGTATTTCTAGGTGTTCGCCAGGAAATTTTAATCCGAGTGTTTTTAGAGCGTTTCTTATTCAATATTAGTAATGTGTATCAAAATGATCTGTGACAACGTGAGCATACAGTACCAAAAACACCACAAAATTGAGTTGGATAGCGATTCAACTACACTTATTTATTTATTTTTTTTTATTTATAATTATATTTATCCACAATACCCACATCACTAATGTGTTTTTCAGTGTGGTCCTGCATGATACAATCATTAACAAAATTAATTATATAAATATATACAATTGATAATATACAACGTCATGACATAAAGAAACGAATAATTATAACTGTATCTAATAAGTACAAGTAGGAATAGTTATATGGTATGTGACCTAAGTAATGACTTAAATTGACTCAGAGAATCCGTGTTTCTGACGGAAACGTCCAAGTTGTTAAAGTCTTTCGAAGCGAGGTAGGTTGGTTTATGTTTACCCCAGTTCGTGTTGACTTTCGGGAGATGGAGGTTGTTACACGATCTTGTGCTGTAGGAATGGATTCTGCTGTTAGTTGTCAGATTGAAGTCGAAATCTATCAGTCCATTAGTGCATTTGTAGATAAAGATACAACGATGTTTATACCTGAAAAATACAAGCAAAACTTCGACGTTTTGAGCAATGACTTTTCGTCTCTACTAACTTTCCGATGAAAGGCCTTCTCTGGAAACGTTGAAGACGAACGTTTGCTTGTATTTTTCAGGTCTAGTTGTAACCTTCACAATCTGCAGTTTCTGGTGTTTCAAAATTGGCTCATTGAATCAGGGCAATTTTTAAGAAATTACAATTACTGGGGCGCCCGTATTCTTATAGCTCACTCACACTCAATGAGTGGAGGTTCAATCTGAGTTTCTCTTGAGTAATGCTGTTTTGAATAGCAGGAGTATTAGTATATGTACAGTAATGTACGACACTAACCCTCCAGGTATTCAAAAACAGCATTGACACTCAAGAGAAGCTCAGATTGAACCTCCATTCATTGAGTGTGAGTGTGCTTTTAGAATACGGGCGTTAGTCTCAACGAGGGCCTTTTCCCCCACACAGTTTATACGGGTACATAAAAATCACTTTGTGCTCAGGGGCAGCACTAGCGCTATTTGAATATAGGGGCGTGGGTGGGTGTAAGTGAAATATTGCCTCCTATTTCAAACGCTGATTATTATTTTTTTCATCCAATTGGGATTAGATAATTTGTCGACTATACCCGACGATTGGGGGTGTTCCACACCCACAACCCACTTTTAACGCAGCCCCTGCCTGTGCTGACTTTTATAAGAGGGAATGTCGAGAATGTGAGAAGATATGAGAAAGCAGGCAGATACAGATTTTCCAACAAGGTTGACCTTTTACTATAATGCTTTACATGATTTCACTTCCAACTATAGCTGTAAATCTCCCAACCCCCATTTACCTGGCCTGGAATAAAGTCGAAGGATCGTACATTTCATCCAATCCTAAACGCACACGAGATTGTAACAAAGACGTCTAGTACTGAAGAATTTGTCCAACAACTGGACCGAGTGGTTGTTGATTTGAGAATAAAGAGGGCTTCGTTTGCTCATGGATAATAAAATACATTGTTATTTTATAATATACATTATACATGTTATTTTATAATATACATTATACATGTTATTTTACAATCCATGGTTTGCTGTGAATAGCCGTGGCGAAATTATTGTAATAGATGAAGAGAAAATCACGGTTATTTACAGCACAGGTGAAAGCAAGGATGTTATGTTTCCCGATCCCACAGAAAATAACGTTATTGATCAATGCAGAATGGATGTTGCTGTTGATAGCAATGACAATGTGTATGCTGTAAGATGGCTTAATAAGAGACGTGATAAGAATGGCAGTGATAAGAAAGATTTTGAGTTGTGCGCTTATGACAAAAATTACAACATCAAGCATGTCTCCGTATTGGATTTCCTTGGTGGAGATTTTGGACATGTGAAAATTACTGTTGACAAAAACCAAAACCTTATAATCATGCTCACAAATTGGAATGACCAGGTGTATATCTGTGAAACCACAGGAAAGTTGAAATATCAGTTTAAACGAGATGAAGATTACTTACGCAGCTTGAGTATTTCTAACAACAAGGGCATCATGATAGAATCAGATGATCTCGACGCTGTTCAAATACGCTCAACAGAAGGTAATTTAAAATCCATAATAACAGTACTAAAATGTCATGAAGCCCATGAGGTGGTGCGCTCTCAGAAGGGTCGTAATGGTCCTACGCTTTGTAGCAATCAGTTGAATAAAAGATTTTTGCCACCCAAGATGACGGACTGCTTTGTCCATAATTCAATTTTATTAAACAATCCTTAGAAAAATTACAACAATGTTATATTAAAGACATTGCAGTACGTATAAGTGTTTCATAATGATCAAGGCATTAAAGATTCCATACATAGGGAAATCAACAGCAATGTTATATTAAAGATACAGTACGTAAATGTTTCATAATGATCGAGGCCATTAAAGCTCCCATACATAGAGAAATCAACCATAATGTTTTATTAAAGATATAATACGTAAATGTTTCATAATGATCGAGACATTAAAGATTCCTTACAGAGGGAAATCAACAGCAATGTTTTATTGAATATACAATACGTGTTCTTCAGTGATCAAGGCCATTGAGCCACGCCAATGAGACGTAAGATGGACATTTTTGCAATCTTTACCAATATGTGACAGTCTGACGTAATGACGCCGTTCTCCAGTTTTCGGGCAATAAGCTGACAAGAAATAGCCACTGTTGGCACACGTAACAAACACCACCTCTTTGGTGACGCTATTAAACGTGATGGCCACACAAGCTTCGCTTTCTCCTTCTGCCAACTCAAATTCTTGAACGAAAGTTCCATCTTGATTAAAAACGCGAACACGGTAGCCATACTTCTCAACTATCATCATTTTCAACTCGTCAGTTATAGTAGCCAATGAAGACCCAGACATTTCAATTTTTGATATCAAACTACCTGGGATGTCTTTCTCCCCCTGACTTTTCTCCCCATCGGGCTTGTCATTCTCGCCTAATAAAATAAAATAACTTTATTGATGGCCTGTTTATATGGAGGCGAGTTCCATGGCAGAGACAGTTATTCGGTTATCGTATTTACTCGTTTGAGCGTCGAGGCGTTCTTTAAATTTCTGACGTTTCAAATACGGCGCTCATTCGAGGGCGGCACTTATTTAAAAGGTTATGTGCTACACTCCATTATCTATCACCCTTTTCCCTTTACTAAAATACTGTGCTATCCATTTTGTATATACTCACCCTGGATTTGGTCTTCTCCAATAACCTGCTCTTCATTCGAGTGCTTCTTAGGAACACACAATGCAACTGAAATCTTCGGAGGAGTAGGAGCCAATACAATAGTGCCATCAAGTAAATGATGTTTGAGAATTTGTGCAGGAGATGGGGAGGGGTATTCATGATAGTTATGTGCACCATACTCCATCATTTCATAATCATCATCATCATCATTGTTATCATCATCATCAACTTTATTTGAATACGGAAAATCATCAGTAACAATATATTACAAAGAAATATTAAAAATATAATAAATGATTATTGCTGCAATATACAGTGCCATCAAGTAAATGATGTTTGAGAATTTGTGCAGGAGATGGGGGAGAGGTATTCATGATAGTTCTGCACACCATACTCCATCCATTCATAATCATCATTATCGTCATCATTATAATTATAATAATTATCATTGTCATCATTATCAAATGTTATAATCATCATTATCATTATCATTGTTATCATCATCAACTTTATTTCAATACGGAAAATCATCAGTAACAATATATTACAAAGAAATATATAATAAATTGCTGCAATATATAACTTTCTACCCGATTGCTGTATGGGAGTCAAGGTTATTAGAGCAAAAAGCTTTTAAACCCGCTTTAAATGTAGTAAGATTAGACATTGATCTAAGAGATCGCGGTAAACTGTTCCACAACAACGCAGCACTGCAGCTGTCGCACGTTGCGACGAAACGTCAACAATATTTTTCTGTATAAATCTTATGTGTAATGGCTATTCATTTAGCAATGTTAAGCTGGGCATTAATATTTATCCTTCTATAGCATCAATCATGTCAATAATTTCGTCAAACATCGGAAATAAATGACGAGATGACTCAGATGAGCCGGGTGGTCTATACCAAGTACCCACCAAAAAGGGCCGTGATCTACTACTTAGATCCTCCCAAACCATAAATTCTATAGACTCACTCCACCGCCTCTTCTACGATCAAGTCTAACAATATCATAACCTGCGATATCTACTTCGTTACTTCCCGGCCGCTCCGTAGACCCGCAGTTTTTTCACAAATTGCATTTGTATTTTCACTTCTTCAACGAACAAAAATAAAGAATGAAGAGACTCCCTAACGGCAACGCTGTCTACATCGTCTGCGAAAAAGGAAAGAGAATTGTCGCCTAATCCTAACCCCTTGACTGTTCCAGTAAAAAGAGAATCGTATACTAAAAAACTGTGCTTTCTAGTTTCTACTCACCCTGGACTTTATCTTCCCCAATAACCTGCTCGTCATTCGAGCGCCTCTTAGGAACACGCAAGTAAACTTTAGTCCGCTCAGGATACGGAAGTAAATGTTTGTCAAAAATTAGTGCAGGAGTGAGTTGGTCTGATTGGAAGATATACACGTCATACATGATGTGACCATCTGGAACGCTGCTCTCTATGTCGTCTGCGAAAACATACAGCAAATTGTCGCGGTTGATTACCAAGAATGACACCAATGTGAACTTAGTGAATGTATAGAACACCTCGACCTTCCCACCGGAGACTTTTAGCAGTTCACAAACCTCGGGGTTTGTTCTCTGGCGAAACAGAAATAAATCACCATCACTGTTTATTGCGACCAGACTTGGATCAACACCAATAACATTTGGTTCGACGAGCTTCATCAGCAATAAATTTGGCACCATCACGTTGGCCCTTAGTAGCTCCATCGTAATTTTATCATGTGGCAGCAGTGGGTTATACATCCAGTCATCGCTTTGGATCAGTGGCCAGTCATAGACGTTCACCGGCTCGGTGGTAAAGCTGGTCAAGTATCGGAAGACGACAAAATTGATGAGAGACACAGACTGTACGAGTTCGTGGCGCTTGGCTTCATTGAACATCGACAACATACCTAACAATTTGTGGTTTAACCCATTGAGTCGCATTGCACCCTGATGCACCCTACTTAAGTATTTTACTCTGTCTAACGCCAGACGATTTTACTCGTCAAGGGGAGAACGCTGGCGCTTAATGGGTTATATCTGCCCATGTGTCTAGTTAACCTATTGAGTCGCATTGCACCCTGATGCACCCTACTTTAGTATTTTACTCTGTCTAACGCCAGAGTATTTTACTCTGTCTAACGCCAGACGATTTTACTTGTCAAGGGGAGAGCGCTGGCGCTTAATGGGTTAATTTTATATAAAAATTATACCATAAACTTCCATATGTAAGCCCTGGCCCTATCTATGTTCGCTTATAAAACTGGGGGGTTATATATGTGGGATATATGCATCAGTCAATTCTAACATTCCCAATCCCCCCCCGGCAACCCCCGGACATTTGCACTTTTTCTTTGCTCGGGGGCCGGGCATTGGTAGTTGGTACTTCCAAAGTTGTTCCGGGGGCAGGGAATTGTTTACTGGTCAGGCATTTGACTTGACTGGACGTTTCTGTGATGAACACATGCTATTGTATTAAAATGGCGTCGAAAAATTCGAGAGTTTTCATCTTCAAAAGTTGGGATGACTTTTAGCTTTTACCAGGAAGCTAATACTGTTATATCCTTTCTCTCCGCCGTGAAAAGGATACTCTGCTAGCAGGGTAATACTGTTATGGAAGTTTTGAGGTCTAAAATACATTCTTTAAATGAGTCAGCATGCCCTGGCAATGGCATTGCCACGCTTTTCCTGCCCAGCCCCCGGGAATTGTCAACTTAAAGAAAAAAGTGCAAATGCCAGGGGTTGGGCAATGCTAGAATTGACTGATGCATTACAGACCTCTCAACTTTGCAGAGAAGTTAAGAGTGAGATTGGGGATGTGGATGACACCTTTGTAAAAGTCCGGGGGTCTGAAATGGCATTTCGTACATTATGAGAGTTGGTGTTTTTTAATGAAATACGTCATTGCTTCATAACTTCCTTTAAGACAAGGCACTTTAGTTACAATAACTGTATTTCTGTGACATACAATAATGAGCTTTAATTTGCCTTTGATAATTTACATATAAAATTCTGCTCCGACTGATTCTGCCTTTTGTTCGCCGTATTTACATATGCGTACTATTTTGTAATCCAAATTGCGGGCAAAAGCCAAAATGTCGGGCCGTTTATGCAGGAACAATAACACGCGATTATATATTCGATGCGCGATCCGTATAATTAACAATTATTCGCCGAAGGCGAGGTGATTATCGGTGAACTGTAAAAACCGAGACGAAGTCGAGGTTTTTATTCACGATAATCACTGAGCCTGAGGTGAATAATTGTTTTAGTATAATTTCATTGGTGATTATTTGGAAAAAAATAAAAAATACACATTTCTTCGTCATGTAATTGACAAAACAGCTTCGGCCGCCATTTTGAAAATCGCTTAGGTGATTATCG